TATTTTATAGGAACTGTACAGCTTGTGTTTTTAGTGGTAATCTGACAAATAAACTTGCTGAGTTGATAATTAGCTGAGTTTATAATTGTCTGATTTGGGTTGTGAAGGTGAAGACATGTTGAATAAGAAACAAAAAAGCAAAGGCATACTAGACCTTGCTTGGCTCTGATACCTTTCTTGCTGGGAGAAAGCAGCCAAGATGTAATCTCAGAAAAGGATATCATATTATGTATTCTTCCAGGGTGCAAATGATCCTGGTATATATAGTAGTAAATTTGTTACTCTTTCTCTTTTTTTAGTCTTTGGTTTTTTTTTTTCTGTCCAATTATTATTTCCTATGTCTTGATCACATTCTTTAAGTTATTTGGCAGTTTCCTCATATATATTGCTACACTTTACAGCTAATATTGATCCAACACGGAGGTATCTTTACCTTCAGGTTTTGGGTGGAAAAGCTTTCTTGGAACATCTGCAAGAGCCTGAGCCTTTACCAGGACAAGTTTGTTCAACATTTACTTTATGTTTACATTATCGAAACCAACGTTTTCGTTCTAAACCTGTTCCATGTGCCTGTGAACCAGATTTTCATGATGGCTTTTTACTTGAAGTACACAGAGAAAGCTTAGGTAAGAAACAATAATAAATTGTCATTTAATTGAGTAAATCTTTGTTAGGTTTTATTTTGAAACAACTATAGCAACTTTAGCTGTAAGAAGAGATTTGTAATGGATGTATCTCCCTAGTCTTTTGTTTTAATTTTTTTCCCCACTGCTCTTCTCAATTTAAACTACTACTACTTACCTTCTTGATTTATTCTCTGTTTGCTAATTAATTTTCTCTGAAGACTTTTTTTGGACTTCTAAATGTTGGCTCTTCAGTAATAAACACTTAAATACCTATTGTGTGCATAGTACCATACTAGGCAGGTCTTGGGGATATAGTAGAGAATGACATGATACTTCTATTTGTGAAGGATGGCCGGGTTTATGATGTTATATAATTTTAATAAGTCAAAGTTTAGATATGAATATATAACTCTCATTATTAAATTTTATGATACTTAATTCCTGTAATTGTTTTAAACTGTGCTTCTTTCAATAAAGATATTTTTTACATTTC